GCATGTGAAATATATACAACATTATGCTACCAGGATCTCTTTTATCAGTACATATAAATAAAAAAAAATGATTTTGGACGGGAAGAGGGTAAGCTGTTTTCAATACCGAATATTTTAAGTAATACACACACACAAAATTTAAATTTACTTACCGTATCCATGAGTGCAAGCAATAGCCATGGCAATAAAACACATTTTTACATGCATTTTGATAGACACCACGTTGAACATTTACAAGTCTAACAAGGAAGTAAACCACACTTACATATCAATAACTCTTTACTTTTCATTTTCAAGGTCTGTTGACTGAGGTCATTTATTATTTTTTTTTCTTAAATCTATATAGGTACACAACAGCCCGGTCCCGGACTTCTGAAAACCCCTACAGCTAAACAATTTTATGTGGTTTTGTTTTTTTTGTTTTTTTTTTTTTTGTTTTGTTTTTGTTTTGTTTTTGTTTTTTTTTGTTTTGTTTTGTTTTGTTTTTGTTTTTGTTTTTGTTTTTGTTTTTTTTTTTTTTGTTTTTTTTTTTGGTTTTTGTTTTCTTTTGTTTTTTTTTTTTTTTTTTTTTTGTTTTTTTGTTTTTTTGTTTTTTGTTTTTTTTTGGTTGATAACTGCGCAGTTTTAGAGTTAAAGACGTGACCTACTTTCAATCAAAAAAGATTTATCTTCGTATACCTGTTCAATACAGAGGGATCACAGCGGTTGTGACATGTTGACTGGGAACATACTATTGTAGGCACTGACCCCAATTATTTTACACCTGACGTTTTTAGGGCACTGCGTCTTGACACATAGGGGTAATACAGTATGTTCCCCCTCTACTTTGGAGCGGGGGTAAAAAAAATATTCAAAATACTGTAGTATACTACGATTGTGTAAAGCATTATCAGGATCAGTATCAGCAAGCAAGGGATGGAACCAGCATAACTAGCATTGATTTACTTTAAATTAACATAGACCTACTAGCATCAGAAAATAAGTTTTTCTTTAGTTAAAAAAATGAAAGCACTTTAAGAAAACTAGTTAAATTATGTAAAATATTAATATGTATAGAAATATTATAATAAAATGATTTTATATAAGACGTTTTATTGCAAAAACTGCAATTCAAAGATTCAGTTATCTACTTCTGGTTCATGATGCTACATCCAGTAGCATTGATTTAATTATATATTTGATCTGATTATAAAACAGCAAACGTACCATTAGGATATGGATAACTAGCATTAAATCAACAAGCAAAAAAGTCATTAAAATTAGCAAGCAAAGGAAGCGTTCAAATCAGCATCGACGCTGTAATAAAATTAGTTCATTGATCATAACTCAGCAAAAACAGAGCTGTGGTGAGTTTGTGCAGCATGAGGAAACATAAAACAACAATTTCTGTGTTGAATGCTGTTTAGTTTTCTTTCGTTTAAATGTAAGTAAGTAAATATTGTATTTTTTATTGTTTAAACCTCAATATTTTGATTTTTCTTCATCGACTGGAATTCTCCCATGCCTTGCAGGTGTCAGGTGCATGTTATGCAATTTTCCCCATTTCTTCAGTTTTGGCTACTTGTTACACAACTCCAAAATTTTATATGGTCAAACCTTAACCCTATGTATGCTAATAGCCAATCAGAAATGACCATCATGGTCACGTGTTTTGATGCTGTCGGTAGCTGACCAGTCAGCGTTGGGTCATTCTCGCCTCATCTATGCTATTGATAAAAACAAAAAAATTGGTACACCCACCACCACCCCAGTCTTTCCTACCTTATTCTGCATTTATATGTTTTAATTTTACTGGCATATGTATTTTTGATGTGCCATCTTTTTGCTGTATACTTATATATATATATAGATATATATATGTATGTATGTATGTATGTATGTATATATATATATGTATATACATGTATGTATGTATATTCAAACGTAACGTGAAAGATAGGTATTGTTTATTATTTGTTTATTGTATTATAATTTAAAAAATCCTGTAACGAAAATTTTGATCAAGTCAAAAGTAAATGAGAGCCATCTACAAAGCATTCTATGCAGCGTTTCGTGTAAATCGTGCTGTTGTTTCGTGTCAACCACACTGTGCAAACTGTGTAAAGTTACTTGCAAACATGTAAACTGATCAGACTGTATCGGGTGCAGGCCTGTGTACCTATTGTACAGATAGTCTGCTTGGGATCATGTACCCAAGACGTTTCTAGACCTATATTCCTCTCTTCTTTGACTTCTTCAATACAATGTGCATATATTTTCCTACTGTATCATTCAGACCACTATATCATAGTTCTCGCAAAGATGTAAACATGACCAGTTTTACATTATATATTAATGTAACCCTTTTTTTTTTTTTTCTTTTTTCTTTTTTTTTTTTTTTTTGTTTTGTTTTGTTTTGTTTTGTTTTTTAAATCAGTTTAACAGAATACATTCATATGTGTTTGTTAACTATGTGTTATGCACGCGGGATAAAATTGGAAATAATGGCGAAAAACAATTCATCAAACTGTATGTTAAAAAATTATGTTAATGTGGACATTTTAATTTTAGGCTTAGCAGCAATAGCATTATATAAATATTGTTTTCAAATATTCATACTATTACAATACGGGCTCCTTATCAGGGTAAGATTGACACTTTTTTTAATGGGTACATGCTACATGTTTGTGATTATTTGTATTGCTTTAATACATCTATATCGATAACTAGATCATCAGTCACTTTTCACATATTTACTTTCATCTTTTTGCTGCCAAAGTGAGCTACATGTTTTGGAACATTTAATGATAAAAAAAGTTTATTTGAGTAATAACTAAAAATAATCAGCAATTAGTGTATACGTTATTATATACTAGTATGACTCTCCTCTGAAAATTTAACTAATCTTAATAAGGTCGTGCACAACGTGCTTATAATGAAATGCATGAGTACAGATTGCATACTCTATCATTGTTGTTAAATTTTAAACCTTGAAAAAACAACCAGTGGTTAATAGGAAGTAACAGGAATAATGTACAAGGTTTCTTTGAATATTCTCTGAGCAGATAAACCAGATCTAGCAGTATTTAACATGGCAACAAGTTCCAGATGTAAGAATCAAAACACATCTATACTGAAAAACACAAGAACCATATTCTGAAATACTAAGAAGAAGGGAAAATAATGCAAAGCTAACATTGTTATTGTACAACTTAATTACCCGACGATTAAACACATACAAACATGTACTCTTTGACAAAGTGTCAATCTATTCTGGTCCGTTCGCGGTAGCTCATGATCAGTCAGTAGAGTGCTCGCTCCGTGATCGCGAGGTCGTCAGTTCGAATTTCCGCCGCGATTGACCTAAGTCGATAAAAAAAAAAAAAAACGGGTAGCAACTGTTTCTTCGGCATGCGCTCGGCACTCTGGAGAGTACGTTGCGGGTCCTTCGGATGAGACCTTAAAAAACGAGGCCCCGTCTCAGGGCAGGCGTTGGCACGATAAAGATCCCTCACTGTTCAATGGCCTTAAGTGCCGAGTAAAGGTCAAAATTTGAAGTCCTTCACCGGTATATTGTGGCATCTCTATAAGAGTGAAAAATTCTCGAAAAAATATAACTTCCTTTTATCTCTATCGAAGGGGTGAACCAATTTAGCTGCAAACTTAGAAAAAAAGATAGTGCTTAGTAAATAGCGATCAAATAAAACACTAAGATTTTTCTGAAAACATTCCACAAAATCGTTGTCACGTAGGGAAAGAGTAAAGAAAAGAAGAATTGACAGTAAAAACATTTTTTCATAAACATAATAAATATTAAAGGTTTTTGATAGCCTCCTCATGCAATGGTGCGTTGAGGTTCTTCGACAAATGAAACAGGGATTATATGTAAGCAAAACACAATGTTCAACAGAAGTCCAAGTTTTTATACCAACATCTCCAGAATGTCACTTATAAATATTTCGAAGTTTCAGCGTTCAGCATTTAATTTATGAAAGTAATGCCTAAATTGACGAAAATGCAATTTTTAGACCTCGTACATGAAAAAAAGCGGTGACTCTAGACATTATCATTCATATAAATAAGGCTTGAAATGCAAAGCAAATAAGAATAAAATTATGAATACGAAATTAAAAGCAAAATATATGAAAAATAATTTAAAAAAATAAAAAGAAATGTATAATAAGACAATTTAATGCTTATATATCTAAAGACTTTATGACTTTTAAAATTGTATGGCGCTTGCTGCTTGGAAAAAGTAGGGAAAAAACACAAGTTTTTAAAAGGATCCTTTACAGATGTATTGAAAATTTTAGGGTTGCTTTGATCTGCATTCCTTTACAAAACTGGTTGTGAGGATGTGTCCTTTTCATCCACGAAAATATTAATGTAAATATATTGAAAGATTTAGCTTGTTTTCTCCATAGCTTTATGCTTAGCAGCGTCATTTTTAAGAACAATATTCTATTTTTTTTTTTAAATTTACATACTTTTGATTTAATAATTATAATTAACGATTTTTAGAAAGTTGGTGAGAGGCTATTCTTCTTTCAGCGATAAAAAGAGTTTGTTTTGATATGTTTGGAAAATAATTTATCCCTAAATTAATGTGCAGACAAAATCAGTATCCATTACTTGCTGTATTGCTGCCGATATTTTCATACTGTTTATAAGAGGTTTCTATCCCCAGATTATTGACCATAAGAAAAAAATCTTTTTGTTGAAGGAATACTATTCTAAAGAAAATTGCCAAAAGGAGCATGTAAAAAAGTACAAACATTCAAGGTTTTGAGAATAATAAATGAAAGCCAAAACCGCACCAAAAAAAAAAAAAATCAAAATCGGATAAATCTGAGATCCTACATGCATAATATACATGTAGCTACTATAGTATAAACTATTTTTCACACTTCTTATTCAAGATAAGTATACTTAACAAATCTTGCTCGTCATATTTATTTAGCCTGAGGATAAAGTACACAACAGTTGTTTATTCATTCGTACACCATGCATACATGTAGGTC